GTTAGGCAACCAACCTAGTCAAGCCCCCCAAATATTGTAGGTGCCAAACATAGTAGGTGCCAAACATTAATTGACTACATAATTAACACATGTTAATTGACTACATCATTAACACCACGATGGGTGAATTGTCTTACCTTGAGCATTCAGCTTACAGCCACAGCGCACAGTCGGGCTCCTCAGTTAATGCACAAGGCCTCAGCAAAGATGGATGAAGTTTGAAAAATGGCCAGGCGGTAGGATAAAAGAACAAAAGAAAAGAACCAGACCCACCCTGGCACCCAGACCCGCCTAGCGCCGCCCAGACCTTCCCAGCTCCGCCTAGACCAGCCCTGCAGAGCATAAGTTTGAAAAATAGCTAGGCAGTAGGCTTAAAGAACAAAAGAAAAGAACCAGACCCGCCTAGCGCCGCCTAGACCCGCCCAGACTTGCCTAGTGCCGCCCAGACCTTCCCAGTGCCGCCTAGACCAGCCCTGCAGTGCATAAGTTTGAAAAATCGCTAGGCAGTAGGCTTAAAGAAGAAAAGAAAAGAACCAGACCCACCCCCCTGGCAGCCAGACCCGCCTAGCGCCGCCCAAATAAACCGCCCTCTTGTTTAGCGCCTTAATTAATGGATCCTATCCGATGACATATATTTCATGCCTTTTTGTTTTGGTATAATTTTATTTAAAATTTAAAAAACAATAATATATAGATGGAAATTCAATGCTTCTTACTTGATGTGGTTGCTGCTGCAAGCGTGCAACTACGGCCTCTTGGGTGCTTTACCGCTGCTTTGTAAAGAATATTTATTATTCTATTTATTAGGTTTATGATTATCTTGTTAAGTTGTGGAAGTCCTATTTTTTAGGGACTTGGTTGTTTAGTTGCTAGTTAATAGGAGAGTCCAAGTTTGATTTCTATTTTAAAGTGAACACATGACATGACAATATCTCAAAATCTAAGACTTGACAAAATCAACATACACATGAATATAATTCACACAGTTGGGTATATGGCTACAAAGCCTGTTCATGTTTACAAGATGGTCCCTCCAGAAACAATCAAGGGTTTTCACCAGAACTGCTCTCTGTTTTCAGATGAAATTTTAGTTAAGAAAAAAAATTAATTGTCAAAAGGAACACTATAAAAACAGGTAAGGTGCTGGTAGTTCTACTAAAGAATAAATGAGCATAATAACTACTGATAAGAAAATCTGTAAGCAAAAGGATTATTCTACTTCTAAACTTAAACCTAGAAAACTGGAATTTCACCTGGAATCAAAGTAAATAATCCCATTTCTAGAGCAAACTCAAACTCAAACTCATTTATTTAGAACCATTAAGCAGGTGTCATATTTACGTAATCATATAGCAACAAATATTCCAACTTATGAGTGCAGGTTTTTTTTTTTTTTTTCTTCCAAATTATGCTTGACGAGAAGATTATTACTTCAACTTCCTTCACATATGCATCATCGTAACCAGACTTTTCAATAACATCCAAGTATGAAACAATTAAAAAACCTCCAAGGTACTTGCGGAGGAGGCTAGTAGTAGCATGGTACCGTCCGTTCCTACATTAGACATATCAAGGGATGATAAAACTCATAATATTGTAAAAGGTAAAAAGCAAAAACGAAATGACACAAAATAAAAATAGCATGCTCAAATATGGGTATTATGCGCACACACAAGCACAGAGTTCACTCACTTAGTCAAATCATCAGAGCATATAGCAAGCCAACGTTTCAATGAAGAGCTCTTCTTGCGGATTCCTCTGAAGGCCTTTGGCGGTCTTGGCAAGTTTGGAAGGTGAATGTCATCAAGATCTACAGAGTTTAGTTCATGTGAGTGTGCAAGAGATTTTAATAAAGCTTCCTCTGTAATTCCGGCAAATGAATCTGGAGAATATCCATTCCATGAGAATTTATGTCAAACAAACCAGGAAATGCAGGACAAGGATAATAATGTATCAGCTCACCATCCAGTAGTTTCCCAGAAATTGTCATAAACTCCTTCAAAAGCTTACCCAAACTCCAATTTCTCGGATGCTATTAAGCAGTAGGGAATCAGTAAGATGAATTAGTGGACAGCAGTATACAACATCCTATTTGAAAATCTCACACTACCTTCAGTGCGTTAACATTTGCAAAGACAATTTCATCTACCACTGCTTGCATGTACCTATTAGACTTCCATCGAGTCAATTAACAACAAAGGTGCGGAAGGAAATGTGATATTTGCACGTTAAATCGAATAGGAGAATTTAGTAAAAACAAGAATATGAAACTCAGCTAGATTTATTAACAAATAAAGCAAAGATGTATAAAATATGAAAAACAGGCCAAGCAAGATATGGTCGCAGCAATCAGTAATACAAAGGCATGCTTACTAATATACACTATCTATTTATTTTTAACACAAAGGCATTCATACATTGATAATTTGTTTTGGATGTTGTCACACTTAGCAACCTCAAGTTTTCCTATGCATCAGATTGTAATATATACTGATCCTCTCAGCTACCTTTAGGTGATATGACTCAGTTTTGCATTCTGGGGTACACTTTCTAAATTTATTTGTAACATCGCTAGATACTACAAACAAAGAGGTTTAAAAGTTAAACTAGTTACCAACAATCTTCCTTTTACCAGGTAAAAAACCATTTTTCTCGATGTCTATTGCTTTGAATTTTTCACCGATATTCAAGTGTCTGTGCGAACAAGCATGCTATTGTAAACTGATTACCTACTGTATTCTAGTTCAAAATATAGCAATACATTTGAAGTACTGACACAATGTTTAGAATAGTGAGTGTTTATTAATTAAGAAGTTTAAGTAACACAAAATGCTACTATATTTGGGTGATAAATTAGATGGCAGGGAGAATGAAGTTGGTGAGACTCAGAAACTTACTATTTATTAAGTAATATAATTCATGAAGTTAATTAAAAAAAAATAATACTAATTATTCACTAAATAAATAAGAATTAAAATATAATTACTAATTTAACTAATTAAATAAGGCAAATATGTTATTTAATTACTAACAATAAAATTTTAAAAAATTAATTAACCTTTAAATATCCTAAGTTTATATATATATATTTTTTTTAAAGACCTCTCCCGACGAAATTTCTGTCGGCAGAGGTATTTTCGTCGCGAAAAACGATCCGGCAAATTTTTGCCGGCATAGATCTGTGCCAACGAAATTTTGTCGGGAGAAGTGTTTATTAAATTTTTATTAAATTTTTTAATTTAATATATGTAATTAAGTAATATCTTAGCCTTTTTGAATTACTTTAATTAGTAACTATGTTTTAATTATTATTTCTTTAGCGAATATTTAAATATGTTCCTTATTTCATAAATAGCTCAATAAATAGTAATTAATTATTTTAAATTATTTTGTGCAATTTTCAAACCTAATTTCATTCAAATTTAAATTGAAAGGATATGTAAAAAATGAATGGATTTTGTCACAATATGCTAGTTAATAGGAGAGTCCAAGTTGTCATGGAGTCATGGTTAGTGGCTGAATGTCATGGTTTAGTCGTGCATTAGTTGATCCCTATTATTTAGCTTAGTTGCTTTCTTATTTTGCTATTTAAATTGTATTCAGTATTCAAGTGAATGATGAAGAGAAGTTTGAATTCCACAAATACGTTCTTGGTTCTTCATCTGTTTCCTTATTTTCAACATGCTTACCCCGTGTCAGGACTCTTTTACTTGGTATGGTATCAGAGGAGGCAAGAAACGACTGATTACAACACCCAGGTCTCCCTTCCTATCTGTTGGTCTCTCTATGTGTGTAAACAAGCTTGGTTTTTGAGACTTCTGTCTTGATCGTTGCTTTAGTTATGGATAGAACAAATAATTAATGGTTTTCAGTTTCACGAACCCAATCGAATGATTTTTTTTTTTTAATACTTATTTTCTATAGTTTTTCTAGACATAAAAGTATACATTACATCATAAAAATTAAATTATTTGCCAAACTTTGAATATAATGTTGATGTTTGGGTTGGGCTACAGACCAGTGCCTTTAGTAGTAAACTAGCTCTCATCGTTTAGTCTGTCCGTTAATAGAGGTATTTACAATGTTAATTGAATTGTAGCCACCGAGTTCTTGCAAGGTCCTACAATATATTTATTATGTGATCTTTCTCTTTCATGAATGATATAGTTGATATGCTCTCCAAGAAACAACTAGTATCATGGGTGCAAAGCATTTGAAAGTTTAATGCTGATTCTTGCGAAATTGATATAGTTGCCTTGCCTCCTAAAATAGGAGACTTAGTTGACTAATCATCTAAATTACAGGAGATGAAATTGGCAAAAAAACATAAATGACTTAATTGACTTTAACATCTCTAACCTTGAGCACTTTTTTTTTTAGTTTTTGTATAAGAAATTGAATATAAGAATGAAAGACCTTGCTAGATGTAATTGCTATGAGCACTTTTGTTTTTTATTGATGACTTGGCCTAATACCTACTTCATGCGAATGAAAGACCTTGCTAGACGTAATTGCTATGAGCCCGTCGCACAGAAATTTATCATCAATGGTTTATGGCCAATATATAATGATTTTAATGCGCGTCCAAAGTGCGGATAAGCTTCGAATGCCCAAAGAGAGTTTTATGGCGAACAGTTCAAAATTGTGGTATTGTATACTTCGTGAACATCCATAACCTTGAGCACTATTTTTCATTTTTTACTTTTGTCATCATTATATTTTTTCAGTTTTACACCTCTCTCTTAATTTTTGCAGGAGACAACTTGTGTTGTCAAGATGAAAGAGTACTCGATTGTTTTCTTCTCTTCGTTTTCCCTCATTTTTCTTAATTGTTGAAGTGATCGATTCCTCATCGCTTTTCCCTTCTAGCTTTTCCAGAAAGCACTGTCAACAATTCCACATTTGCATACATCTCCAGCCACATGCACAAAATGGACAGAACTCGTTTCCTCCTGTTGTCTCTTGTACACTTTTATTCTTTATATATGGAAAACTTAACCATGACAGAAGCACAACCAACATCAGCACAGTCTGCTCTTCTTGCTCTCAAATCTCATATCACCACTGACCCTCAAAGCATCTTGGTCAACTGGTCAACCACCACCTCCGTTTGCAACTGGGTTGGCGTCACTTGTGGTGCTCGCCACCTTAGAGTTGCAGTCTTGAACCTTTCTTACATGGGACTCACCGGCACCATTCCTCCGCACCTCAGCAACCTCTCGTTTCTTGTTGAGCTGCGCTTGAGAAACAATAGCTTTCATGGCACCTTGCCCCAAGAATTGTCTTATTTACACCGGCTGAAATTGATTAGCTTCGGATACAACAACTTTATGGGAACCATTCCATCGTGGTTTGGCTCCTTCCCCAAACTTGTAACCTTCAACTTTGTATGGCAATCAATTTTCAGGTTCCATACCCACTTCTATCTTCAACTTATCTTCACTTCAAGTAACCAATCTCAACAATAACCAACTATCAGGTACGTCCCCTTTAATTAACATATTACTAATGTATAACATAAAACTTTGTTTTTTTTCGTGCCTTTTTTATATCTTGCCAAATGCACATATTGAACAAAAGAAAAATGGCCTCAGCAAAGATAGATGAAGTTTGAAAAATGGCCAGGCGGTAGGATAAAAGAACAAAAGAAAAGAACCAGACCCACCCTGGCACCCAGACCCTAAACCCTAAAGAACCAGACCCACCCTTGCAGCTAGACCCGCCTAGCGCCGCCTAGGGCCGCCTAGACCCGCCTAGCGCTGCCTAGACCCACCGAGAACCTCCCAGACCCTCCCAGACCCGCCCAGACCCTCCCAGCGCCGCCTAGACCAGCCCTGCAGTGCATAAGTTTGTAAAATCGCTTGGCAGTAGGCTATAAGAACAAAAGAAAAGAACCAGACCCGCCTAGCGCCGCCTAGACCCGCCTAGCGCCGCCCAAATAAACCGCCCTCTTGTTCAGCGCTTTAATTAATGGATCCTATCCTATGACATATATTTCATGCCGTTTTGTTTTGGTATAATTTTATTTAAATTTTAAAGACAATGATATATAGATGGAAATTCAATGCTTCTTACTAGGTCATGGTTGCTGCAAGCCTGCAACTACGGCCTCTTGGGTGCTTGCCGCTGCTTTGTAAAGAATATTTATTATTCTATTTATTAGGTTTATGATTATCTTGTTAAATTCTGGAAGTCCTATTCTTTAGGGACTTGGTTGTTTAGTTGCTAGTTAATAGGAGAGTCCAAGTTGTCATGGAGTCATGGTTAGTGGCTGAATGTCATGGTTTTGTCGTGCATTAGTTGATCCTATTATTTAGCTTAGTTGCTTTGTTATTTTGCTATTGAAATTGTATACAGTATTCAAGTTAATGGTGAAGAGAAGTTTGAATTCCACAAATACGTTCTTGGTTCTTCATCTGTTTCCTTATTTTCAACATGCTTACCCCGTGTTAGGACTCTTTTACTTGGTATGGTATCAAAGGAGGCAAGAAACGACTGATTACAACACCCAAGCCTCCCTTCCTATCTGTTGGTCTCTCTGTGTGTGTAAACAAGCTTGGTTTTTGAGACTTTTGTCTTGATCGTTGCTTTAGTTATGGATAGAACAAATAATTAATGGTTTTCAGTTTCAAAAATATTGGATTGGATTGGATACTCCCTATATTTAAAGCATGTTTAAGGAAGAAATGAAAATATTTTTTATCATTGAAGGTAGAATATGGATTACTCATGAAGAAAACTTATCCCGTCTAATCCCCACAAAATGGTAGGATAATAACACCTTATAACTAATCCCTCCTAATCCCTCCCAACATGGAAAGTCATTCACCCCTACCTTCATCTTCTCCTTCAATATACCTTAGATTTAGTGATTTATCAAGTTTTCTTCTTTCATAATCAAAATTAGCAATTTTTTGTTTATTTTCTTTTTAGATGTTCTCAGTGACTAAATTTGTAATTGACTCTTTCTACTCTTTAACTAACTGCTTTAGGGTTCTTTACCTGTGCATTAAGTTCTGGTATCTTGGGACAGGTTTTGTTTAGTCTCCTTTAGAATTCTGATAGCTTGTTTTGTCAAGCTGAAAGAGTACTGGTTAGATCCAACAACGAAGGATTTGATTGAGACTAGAAAAATTTGGAAAAATCAGTGGAAAGACCATGGTAA